GAGGAGATGTCCGCTCTGCGCGAAGCCAGAGACGAGCTCAAGTCGCAGCTCAAGGCGGCCAAAGCGCAGGCCAATGAGAGCTCCTGCATAGCCCAGGTATTGCAACAAAGGGGCGGGGAGAAAGGGTTAGCAGTGGCAGTGGGAGTCTCGCAGTTGTGTTCCTCTCCCCTCTTCAACGTTTGTTTTCTTATCTCGATTTGGCTTGCCTTTCTCTTGGTTGATTCTTTGTGCCCCTCTCGCTCGCTCTTGCGTTTTGGGTTGTTATTTGTTGGCGGGGTGTGGTTGTCTCGCGTGTTTGTGTAGCTGGCTGCTGCTGTGCACATCTCCACTGCAAGCCCCGCCAGTAGTGTTCGGTTCTGTCCTTCTGATTCGTCCGTATGCTCGTCGGCAGAATATCTCCGCTTTTTTTATGTTTCGCGCCGCCGCCGCCTCCGAGACTTGTCGACATACTCAGCGAAGCCCCTTCCACCCCCACACCCACACCCACCCTGGGTGAGGTAGGCATTCGTGACAATTCGTGACCGGGCAAAACATTTTTTTAAGACGTCAACGTAATAAAAAAAACAGAAGTCCCATCAATACTGCTGTACCTCGATTATTTATCTTTTCGTTTTTAGACAACATTGTTTCCGCTCCGCGTGCCCCCCGCCCCCCGTCAGTAAATCATTAAACCGGGTGACGAACTGCTTGCTGTCCCCACCCTCGTTCGTGTCTCGACGTTTTTTACGGCATCATCCTCGCCTTTATGGGCGACTCCGACGAGAGCAGAGGCTGCAGGAGGAGTTGGAGGAGGTGACGAAATCGAGAGGGGATGATGAGCGCCGCGTCAACGGTAACGGTAGCTGGGATGCCCGCGCCGACGGCGGGTGGGCAGGTGAGCTGCTAAAGCTGGCGATTGCTTTACCGAAGAACTGGAACGTATGTAACATGCTTCAGGTATATTGTGTATTTGCAAGACTATTTTTTTTTGCCCGTGACTCCCTCCCACAGGTGAGTTGTTCAGAGCTGATGCAATAGTTGTACAAACAGGTACATTGTGCTCAGTTTTTTTTTTTTCTAAGTGCACGCCCCCCTCCCTGTAACCAAGCAGGAGCGCACGCAGGGCATGCGTCGGTAGTGGTCGTGGCTTTGCGTTTGGAGAGTTTCGTTACCGCAAACATTTATGTTACGCCTAGGATTGGTGTTTGCACCTCCACCCTTTCGCTGTCGCGAAGTCGAGGTTCAACCTTGGAAAACATCGGAGTGCTAAGTTTGATTCTGTCTACAGTACACGCCAAGAATGTACGATCCCCTGGTCGTGTGCTCTCGCCGCCACCCCACCTATCCGTGCATGTAATATCGTGCTTATGTTCTGCATATCCCGTTGTAGCCAGTTTTTGTTTTTTCGTCGTGTGGTTGAGCCTGTTTGCTTGCCGCCGCTCCGGTTGTTGCTCCTCATCACGGTGTGTCCAGACGTACACTAACCGTCCTCCTCCTCCTCCTCCTCCGATGATGATGATGATGATGCATGCATGCATGCATGAACAGGGCAGCAACTTCTGGCCAGCAGCGGCGGCGGCGGCGGTGCAGGACCCCAAGCGACGGGTGAGCCCGCCGCCGCCGTCCTGGGGGTTTCCAAAGGAGGCGTCCCTTTCTCGGAGGGGGGCGTTCCTCCCTTGCCCGCTGCCGGGCTTGGTGGCATGCCGTCCGCGTCGGCGTCTCCGTCGAACAGCGGCGGCGGTGGAGGAGGAGGCGGCGGATTCGCAGACGGGGGTGCCGGGCAGCCGGTGCAGCTCATGGCGGTCGCGGAGCTCGAAAGGAGGTATGTAGGTGAATGAGATGTACACGCGGTCTAACACGTTTTTTTGTCGCACGTGTGCAGCGGCAGTGTGTGGACTGCCTGCCTGGCCTGGTGGAGAGGTAAGGCTCCCCCGCATGCCTGGCTGCTGTTGTTTTGGTGTTTGGTGTTGGGTGTTTTGGTTGTGGTTGTTGATTTTGGGTTCTGATTTTTTAATGTTGGCGGTGGGGGTGGTGGTGGTGTTGCTGTTGTTGATGTTTGGATGCGTGTGTGTTTTATCTGTCACATATGCGTGCTAGATGCACTGGCGTCCGGAGTGTAGCTAGGAGTTCTACACCCTGGCACGATGCCCGGCCCAATGTCAGCACCAAAGCGTCACGGAGGTGGTTGACTCC